GGGGGGGTGAGTCTGAGGTGTGGAATGGAGTGTAGTCCACTCAGCTTCCATATGTAAATGACCTTGGAACGCTGGGCGGGACTGCACAAAGCAGCCAATGAACCCAGCCAGTGTCTTCCGAGTGGCAGTTTTTTCGGCCTAACACTAAAGGAGTGCATTTTAGAATTCTGGCACCCAAAACCCTTTTATAATATAAGAGAGATACGCTTTAAATATCTAAACTCTATACTGGCCAACATGACGGGTCTTTTAGATTCCCACAAAGTTTACGAACTTCTGAATGATTCCTCTATTGGAATAACTGAGAAGGTGGCTAAGTTCCTTCAATCCACTATGATGCTGCTCCAAAAAAAAGTACAGTTCTAACTTATGTTTTTACTTAATGTATTTGTAATACAGCATCTCTCTACTTGTATATATATATTTTCATAATGATTTTGATTTACTGATATATGCCAATAAAGGCTGAATTGAGTTGATGAACTAATATTTTAGCTAAAAAACTGCATGGTGGCAAGAGCAACTGTGCAATTTAAAAAGTTGGACTGTCCCAAAAAAGTGGGCATTCAAACAAAAACCTTATTTTAAAGACCCTGTTCAGAGATAACATGAAATCATTAACTATGCTTAGTTTGTGAAATCAGGATTCTGCTTGCAAACAATCACTCATCTCCTGGTTTGCCATGACAAATGCTGGTTTCATTACCTTCACTCTGGCTAGGTGTCATTAGGAGAGAAGCCAGGATGTCTGCATTCACACAACACACAAAAGCATTGTTAAGACTAAGTGTGCTTAATAAACCAGCTTCAAACCATGTTTTGAGATCCTGGGTCGGAGCTGGTGATCAATGGACACAAAGAATTTTTCTGGCATTCCCCTCCCCTAACAGTCCTTTCTGGCCCTGGGAAAGTTTAGTTCTGGGCTTGTGAGAAATACGTGAACTAACAGCCATGCAGGTCTGAAGGTTGCAGTGGGGAGGGGAAAGGAGGAAAAACATCCTCCCTTCCTTTTGTCCATCAGCAGAAGAGACAGAAAGAGCAATTTTTCTCTTTCCACTTTCCCACTGCAGCCTCCCAATCTGTGTGCCTCTTAGTCCACACGCATCCCACGATCCTAGCAACAAAGGAGAAGAAGAGAGAGAAGAGACTGGATTTATACCCCGCCCTTCACTACCCAAAGGAGTCTCAGAGCGGCTTCCAAACTCCTTTCCCTTCCCCTCCCCACAACAGACACCCTGTGAGGTTGGTGGGGCTGAGAGAGCTCTGACAGAAACTGCTCTTTTTCAAGAACAGCTGTGCCAGAACTACGGCTTGCCCAAGGTCATCCAGCAGGTGCAAGTGGAGGAGTGGGGAATCAAACCCGGTTCTCTCAGATTAGAGTCTGCACACTTAACCACTACACCAAACTGTTTTGGGGAGGGCAGGGTGGGAAAGATTCATCTGTGCCTTCTGCTGATGGATCACTGGATCCAACCCTTTGGTTCGACAGATAAAAGTAATAATAGTTAGAGGAGCAGCCTGCATTCAGACACCCATACCAACTGTAACTGGTTTAAATAACGAAGTGGGACTTCCCTGCAAATATTGCTATACAGAGCTCTGCACACAGCATTCTGTCTACAGCAAGAACAACTTCATGCCTCTGATTATGAAGGAATATATTAGATAATAACTACAGCTTAAGTTTAAGTTTATTCCTGTTCCTAATGGCAACATACATTTGAAAATAGGGGTTAAAATAATAAACTTCTGCTCATCTGCTTTAACAGAGAGGCATGGGTATACTTGGACAACAGCTATGTTTCTTATGACAAACTCTTTTGGGTGTGTGTTATCTAACACTACAGCACACTTGCATGGAAGCAAGTTCTACTGAAATCAACTAGAATTTCTTTTTCGTACATCTGTTTAGGATACTACTGATACTTTAAGCACTCTTGCATAGTTGTCACTCTCACATTCAATCCAGTGCTTAATTTAAGAGCTGATAGTAACACAAATATATTCATATACAACACAAATATATTTGTGTACTTATACATGACATAAAGGGCCTACTTCCTAATGTTCCCCACTTTTGATACTTTTATTTGAATTGCTAGAAACAGAATAGTTCTGTAAAAGGAAACTGACCTTTGGATAGCTGCAAAATCTCTCTCAGACAATTCCCCCAATAACAGTGCTGATATGCAGTTAAGAAAGCAAAGCTAATCATTACCTTGCACTGTTACAAAAGCAGTAAACAAACAGAAACACTGTTATCAGCTAGAGCAGGGGTGTCGAACTAATTTATTATGAGGGCCGGAACTGACATAAATGAGACCTTGTTGAGTCGGGCCATGTGTGTCATAAAATGTAATGCCAGGTAGTGGAGATATAAACTTTATAAAGGACACAAACAGAAAGGTTTTTTTTAACTTAAATCATGCTTAAAACATTAGCTCGGTAAACTGCAAACCTACTTTTGATTTATTGACATTCACCACAGAAATCTCATGCTCAAAGTTCTGAGTCTAGAACCCAGGTTAAAACATGAAATGGCTGAGTGATTAAGAGAGTCTGGCGAAGCAAGCTATGATGCAGCAGAAGAAGAACTGGGAGCAAAAGATGGCCAGTTTCACTGTGGGCCTGATGGAAGCCCTCCGGGGCCTGATCCGGCCCCTGGGCCATGTTTGATACCCCTGAGCTAGAGTTTGGGGGAAGAGTTGATTCCTTTCATGACTCCTTTGAAGGTTTGGTGACCACCTGACCAACTCCAGGTAATTATCCCAACAGGTAACTCTTACCTCCTCCATCTTGTTTCAGCAGATATCCTTTTGAGTTGTACCAATGGATGGAATCATACTGACTAACATTCAGTTTACATTCAATGGAAGCATGGTTCCCCTCTTTGACTATGATATCCTGAGGTATGACTGATTTTGCCAGGGCTTCAGAGATGAAAAGAAGTGATGCATTGAGAGGCAGGGCCTTTGATCCAGATGTAATTGTCAGGTTGGAGGCCACATTTTCTAAAGCAAGTACACGAGTCCCAAGAATCAGAATCCACAAGCAGCAGCTGAGCTTCATGGAAGCGTAAAGGAAAGTGCTTCTCTCATTGAATTTTACAGTTGAGACAGGCTATTTAGGTGAAGTCATCTGCATTATGCTGGTCACCAGTGAAGATGCTGATTGAGTCATTAGCAGAGATTTTCAAAAAAACTTTTATGTTAACCAGTGAAAAAGAGAATCCAACTGAAAATGTAAAAACATGAATAAAAGTTGTTAATAAGGCAAAGCTTTACAGCTCTCAACTCTAAATGCCTAGCAATCAGACTGTGGCCTTAAATAAAGTGCAGCTTTCTGAGATTGATGTGAGCAGACGTTAAGTACAATCACCACCTTAAAGTAAGGTCATGTGTTATGTATAAGTGGAAAAGAAACTCAAGCATCCTGTGCTCTCCCCCCCCCAAGCTTCTAAATGTAAAACGGTAAGCACAGCTCATCAGTGTCATCAGCAAAGAAGTCTACCAGTCCTACTTCCCGTGTCAGGCTCATACAGGACAGGGAAGTGGCTATGTGTCACTCACAATTCTTCTCTCCAGCTAATCTTGCAATCATTTATTGCAACTGCTTCTTACATAGATACACAGGCACAAAAAGCAGGCAATCCAATCTAGCTGACGATGGGTTATTTAAAGGATTATTTTATTTATTATTTAGTCCACAAATTTCTACACAACTTTTTTAGAGAAGCTGCCTGAGCTGGCTTACAAATCATAATAAAGATATCAAACCATAAAAATTACATACATACATTTTTCGATTTATATACCGCCCTATTCATTGAGGCTCAGAGCGGTTTTACATTAATTAAGCATTAATAATTCAGCCATGGCATAAAAACATAAAACATCAAGTGGCTTAACGTGAGTTTTACAGTTTGACGGGTCAAAGCAGACTACAAAATGGTGTTAAATACCTACCCTTTAATTAAAAGCCTGGTTAAGCAGAAAGGTTGAGGCTTGGCACCTAAAAGAGAGTAGACTAAGCACCATGCAAGCTTCAACAGGATGGGCATTCCACAGATGAGGTGTCACCACGGAAACCGTCCTGACTCCTCTGAAGGCAGGGGCACAAAGAGCAGGGCTTGTGAAGAAGGTATCAGCTGGCAGGCTGGACGGTATATGAAGAGGTGGCCCTTCAAGTACCCTGGCCTCAAGCCATTTGGAGCTTTAAAGATAAGAGCCAGCACTATGAACCAGCACTGGTTAACCAGTACGTACCTTTCAGATCACAGTAATAGTTATACCTGTATCCAGTCCCTGACAGTAGCACGGCTGCTGGATTTTGGACCAGCTGAAGTTTCTGGACATTTTTCAAAGGAAGTCTAACGTAGAGTGCCTTACAGTAATCTAACCCAGATGTAATCAGAGCATGGATCAACATGGCCAGATAACACTTTTTGATGACTGGCTGAAGCTGGCAAAAAGCACTACAAGCTATGGAAGAGACCAGAGCCTTCAGCCACTGACCAGAATCCAGCAGCATCCCCAAGCTGCTCCTTCAGTGGGAGTGCAACCCCCTTCCAAATAGGCTGACTCCTTGAACAACTTTGCCACTGACCAACAGCACCTCACTTCAGTTTATTGGCTCTCATCCATCCTATTACCATTTCCAGGCACCTGTTAAGGATTTCCCACAGTTGCCTGACTCAGTTGTTAAGGAGAAACAGAACTGGATGTCATCTACATATTGGAGACACCTTATTCCAAATCGCTGGGGCTGCGGTGGCTCAGAGATTAAGACACTGAAGCTGCAGACCAGAAGGTCTGTAGCTTGGCAGTTCAAGACCCTAGTGCCATGTGGCAGAGTGAGCTCCCATCTCTGGCTCCAGCTCCTGCCAACCTAGCAGTTTGAAAGAAAGAAATTGCAAGTAGATAAATAGGTACGGCTTCGATGGGAACATAACAGCGTTCTGTGCACCTCAGCGTTTAGTCATGCCGGCCAAATGACCACGGAAAAGTCTTCGGACAGCGCTGGCACTTCGGCTTGGAAACTGAGATGAGCACTGCACACTAGAGTTAGATTCGACTAGTTTTTGAGCAAGGGAAACCTTTACCTTTACCTATTCCAAATCATCTAATGGTCTCTCCCAGTGATTTCACGTAAATATTAAACAGCGAGAGAGACAAGAGGGATCCTTGTGAGGCCCCACAACACAAATACCACGGGAACAAGCAGTAGTCCCCCAGCACCACTTTTGGAAATTGTCCAGCCAAGTAAGACTGGAACTGCTAAAGTGATACCTATTATTCCTAACCTAGCCTGCCTCTTGAGAAGGATACCATGACTGATGATATAAAAAACTAGGGGTATGCAATTCCCCCCCCTTTTTTTGTTTGGATTTATTGGACCCCCCAAAATTTCAGGATTTCTGAAAAATCCCAGATCCCAATACCAGCAAAGTATTTGGATCTGGGCTTTTTCAGAAATCCTAAATTTTTTCGGGTCCAACAGACTCAAGATGGAAAAAAATGGGGGGAGGAGAGGGGGAGGGGAGAAACTAGAAATTTTCTGGATGACACTTCCGTCCTAGACCCCTTCCAGTCCGGCTTTCGCCCGGGGCATGGGATGGAGACTGTATTGGTCGCCCTTACTGACGACCTCCGACGGCATCTGGATCGAGGCGGTGTGGCGGTGCTGTTGTTGTTAGATCTGTCGGCCGCATTCGATATGGTCGACCATCAGCTGCTGACCCACCGTCTCGCCGACGTGGGGATTCAGGGGCTCCCCTTCAATGGCTTACCTCTTTTCTCCGTGGTCGTGGACAAAGGGTGGTGATAGGGGAGCAGCAGTCCCGGAGGCACCCCCTTGTGTGTTGGGTGCCTCAGGGGGCTGTTCTCTCCCCGCTATTGTTTAACATCTATATGCGCCCCCTTGTCCAGATTGCCCGGAGTACTTAAAGCATGCCACCTGCTCATTAACATTTCTGCTAATTATCCATCTGTGCTTAGGTCTTCTGCTACATAATACCACTGTTTTGGACTTACTGTAGTTAATAGTCAGAAAATCATTATCACAGTATGATGTAGCAGTCCTTAGCATACGCCATATATATAAAGCGATTTTTAGAAATTCAACTCCTAATGAATGTTTATGGGGAGATAGTAAAGGACATTTCTAAGACCCATTTCAATGCATGCCTCCCTCATGAACCTAAAGAAATGTTCACCACATCACCACTCCCTCACACCAACTCCTCCTTACTCCTCTCACCTCTTACTGCCTCCAAGAAACCTCCTGGCAAATGTCGAGGCAGATACACCAACACTACAAGAAGGAGGCAACTTAGGACTGCAGCAAAGACATTTGCACATAGTACTCCTGCCGTGCACTGAGCTGCGCAGGTCAAGTACCAGCAAGATCACCCTGAGGTGCTCAGAAAAACACAGTCTCCATATGAGCAAAACAATCCAGGAACACAAGTAGAGAGGCCATCACTTTTGTGGAAGGTGGCAGGAGTTGACTTAACAGACGACTGCTTATTAAATGGACAGTTCTATGTGGCCTGCTCCAGAGTGAGCTCACCAAACAGCCTGGTGATCCTAGCACCTGAGGGCAGAACCACCAATGTGGTCTAGAGAGAGATCCTTCAGTAGAGGGGGGGAAAATACATATGTCTCACTTCATTTCTTACACTACAATCTTCTCCATTAGAATTCCCACAACAAATATCACATTTCAAATTTCACATCATCAGTATTATAACCGGATTTACAGAATTTAAATACCATAGCAAAGCATGGATATCAGTCTAATAAACCTATACTGGAACAAGATAGCAGGACTGCATTGCCTGTGGAAAGTAAAACTGGGAGTGGTCTAGAGGCCAAATCTCCATCTGCCAAACCTCTCTCTGGGCCTGCAATTTTTCATTTTGGGTAAAACTTTATCTTTCCTTTTCAACTCAAACCATTCTGGCGGGAGCCTTGACTGATTCAGTTCCCTATCTATATATCTAATTCCCAACATGCCCCCTCCGTGCGGATATCTAAATCAGCACATTGGGGGCACTTGGGGGACAGGGAGGTTTTCCTGCACATTTGGGGCAATCCCCAGATGTGAAGAAAAATCTGAAAACTTGGAAAAATATGCGAGGGGATATTTAAATCCCCCCAAAAGTAAAAGAGCATTCCCCGTGCAGGTGCAGGGAACGCTCTGAGAACGGCTTCGCCACCACCGCCAGGGAGGGAGGGAGGGGGAGGGGCAGGAGAAGGCTTGGCGGCCGGCGGCTGTAAGCCGCTCAGCCCTCGCCGCCACCCGGGGGGAGGGAGAAAGTTTGGAGGGCCGAGCTCAGGCCTCGCCACAGCTGCTGCCGGTGGGGGCGAGGGGGGGGAGAAAGTTTGGCGAGCTGGCCAGGACTCGCTGCTGCTGCCGCCATTAGGGAAGCGGGGGAGGGGAAAAGCTTGGCGGCGCGAGTTCAGGCCTCACCGCCAGTGCTGGGGGGGAGGAGGGAGAAGGCTTGGAGGGGCGCGGGCCTTGCCGTGGGTGCCGGGGATGGGGGCAGGGGAGAAGGCTCACCTGCAACTGCTTCCTTCTCCTCCCGTGGAGCTTCTCCCCCCCCCCGGGGATATACTGTTTCCGGCTCCCTGTCT